CAGCAGGAAATCACAGAGACGCCATAACTGGCCAACTCGTGATCCTCAGCAGTAGGGCCAGGACACAGGCCCAGCGACACCAGGTGAGCGCCAGGAATGTGTGAGGGTGGGCACCGTCAACCATCTCAGCCCCCACAGGCTCTCTCCCTGGCCAGTCTGCAAACTCAGCCTCCACTCCAGCTGCCCCAGCCTCAAGGTACCATCAAGGGCAAGGAGAGGAGACAGGGATGCTGCCTAGATAAATGGACCCATGAGTTAGGAGCAAGAAAACTGTCCCTGAAATACCAGCAATCTTGGGAATTGGGGGGTTGGAGAGGGTGTCAGTCAGCCTCATTTCCCAGAGAATAACAGCAACTCAAGACCCATCAGAAAGAGAGGCAGGAAGGGGAGGGAGAGGTTCTCTTCCCAGCTTTTGATCAGAAGCCAGCAGTCAGGCTGGGAGGAGATGAGGAACTGAGAGGGGGAAGTTAGAGCAGCTGACTTGGTCTCAGCCGGATTAGGGGGGAGGGCAGCTAAAGAAAGGTTGTGTCCATGCAGGCACCAGGGGGCTGCTGCAGATATTCTGAATCTGTGATCCCCTGAAGCTCCTTTTCTTGGGCCTCTGGTACCGGGGCTCTGAGAGTGATTCAGAGCAGCTGAGGTTTCCGGTATACCCATGCTCTGCCCAAAGTGATAGGCCTCTGGCTGGGTGAGACGCCCAGCACAGGGCTCTGGGTACACACTCAGACTCTCAGACCTTCAGTCCCTGGTTACCTGGGACTGAACAGGCTGTGATGAAGGAGGTTGGGAAGAGGCAGATGGTGGGTCCAGGGTCTAAGCCTGCCCTGGCTCTGCCAGGAGTGAGAGCAGTGAGAAGAGATGACTAAGTTCCTTCCTATGGAGATTCCCCCATGCAGGCTGGTCAGGGCAGGGACATGGGCAGAGGAAGGGACAGCTTATCCTCACAGTCCCCAGATCGCCCCAGTCTCCACCTGCCAGCCCTTGGAAGCATCTTCTCCACACCCCTCCCCCAGCCCCATATTTCCTAGAAACAGCAGTAGCAGCTGGGGAGGTTTTGATACTCATAGAGAACCCAGCACTAGAAGGAGGAGGGGGGCAGGGGAGACACAAAGGTTCAGGTGAGAAAGTCTGAACAAGGGGTGTCAATAGAGAACGACCTCTTTTCCTCCAGCGCGTTATCATGGCTGTTTAGACTCAGAGGCGTGCCCTGCACCGCCCCAGACTTCTCTATAAGATGAGGAAAGGGAGGAAACAAATTTGGAACAGGATTCCCAGGAGGTCCCAGTCACCCTCCTGCTCTCCCCCGCCCTCTCCCACGCCTCGCTCTAGTCTGCCCACGCAGAAGCCTGCGGTCCGCTGCCGTCCCCTTCCTCTCCCAGGCAGCGATCCAGCCGACCCGCGCCAGACACACAGCGACCAACAAAGTCACGCTTCCGAGTCACGTGCCCACTGTTTTCCTCCCTCCCTCCGACCGGCGGGGGGCGCGCGGAGGAAGGGCGCAGAGGTTTGGGGTGCGGCGGACCGTGACAGCGCCGACTCCCGCCTGGGGACGCGGGCCGCCGCGGGATCCCTGCCCTTCCTCAGCCCCCGGCTGCTTGGCCTCCCGCAGCCCAGTCCCCAGGCCGGTGGGCTGTGGCCGCGCCGGACACTGGCTCGCTCGCTCACACACTCACCACAGTGACCGGGGACACCATGGCGGAGGCGGCGGCCGCAGCAGCTGGCACCCGGCGCCAGGCTGCAGCTGCCAGGACGCGCCCGCAGCCAGGTGGGGAGGCGACGACGTAACAAAGCCCCAGTGATGGACAATACCTCCCGCGCGCCGGGCGCTGAGGGTTCTGTCTGCGATCCCCACGACGTCACTGCAGACACGGCCAATGAGCAGGCTGGAGTCGGCTGGGGGGGTGGGGCGGGAGGAGTGAGGGTGGCTGGTGCTGCGGGCTAGACCCCGCCCACCACCCACCCACACTCCCACACCCTCACACCCACACACCCGGCTGCTACTGCCCAGGGTAGAGAGGCTTGCCTATCCCTGGGGGCAGGAGGCGGGGCCCTGCAGGTCCCGCCCCTCTGGGAATCAGTGCCAAGGCATCCTGGAAAGTAACCGTGACCGCAGGCCCTGGGTGAGGACGGAGATTGGCCGAGAGACAAACACATTCTTGCTCTGGTCACACGGCTACACACATTTTTCTCATAGCCCGGGGATAAAAGGCAAAGACAGATTCCCTTCAGCCTTTAAACATGCAGTCCGCACGGACAGTTACAATTAGACCCACAGCCTTCACTATGTACAAACCCACATCCAAATGGACCCACGATGGTCCACAGACATACAACTTTCAACATGAAAAGAGACATGTAGCAGCCCATAGACCCATACATATGCACAAACACACACAGGATCACAATTACTCAGGCATCAAACAAGTACATGGACACAAAACGGACAACCGCGGATGGACACACATCCTTCAAGGTAAAAAGAGACACATATATGGGCATGCAGCATCCTATAGACCTATGATAAACCCAGTTACTCAATTGCCCTTAGGCACACACTTCTCACAACTCAGAGACAACTGTAACACACACAAGAACACACCAGGAATGATAGGCAGACCTGAGCGTACTTAAGGAGCCAAAGGAGTGTGAACTAACTCCACCAAAAATGCAACTTAAGCAGATTAATGTTGATGTCACACAGACTAAAAGTACACAGGCACACATGGAACCAAGCATGTTCAGAATCATGGGAATTACATGAGAGAAATAGTAGGCAGTCAAATAGACTGGGACTTAGTCCCAGGTTTGCCACTTCCATGCTTCCCCTCTCTGGCCTTGATTTCTTCATATATAAGATGAGTGGATGTTCTCCAAGGTTCCTCCCAAGCCCAACATGTGTAGGATTGGGAAGGGCAAGGGCTGCTGCTTTCAGGAAATTTAAGTCTAGGGATCTTCCTGGAGATGGAGATTTCAGATACATCTTAAAGGATGGCCCGGTGGTCTTTGATCTGCCATAGGAGGGGAGAAGCTGTGTGTCAGGCTTTGGGAATTGGGGTGGAGTAACCAGCCCTACTTAGTTCTAATTAGCAGCCATAAAGGAATTTTAGCATCATGATGACACTGAGACCCTAGTGCTGGACCCCTCCTTGTGCTGGCTGGGGAGAAGCCCACAGACTGAGATCCCCTGTGAGCCCCTCCCACAATGGGCCTCTTCTTTTTTCTTTTGGACTCTGCCTACTTTCCCTAAAGCCTGTGTTGTCCACCTGACACCCTCTCAGAGGAGGGAGCAGCCCTCTTCTAGTGACAGAATTGAAAAGCAGAGATTCAGAGCCAGGAGCAATAAGGGTGAGAGCCAAGGCTTGGGACTGAGGCTCACCCCCAGCCTTCCCTCATCCCCTCCAGGCTCTTCCTACACAGAGTCCCAGTGGCCAAGGAACTATGCGTGTTCTACTGTGGGGAGATTCACCTTACCAGAATGGGAGACTAGGATTGCTGCCCCAAGGACCTTGTCTCACACACACACACTCCTACAAAGTGTGCTGCCTGGAAGGAACACTGGATTAAAAGTTAAAATACTGTACTTAGTACTAGTCCTTCCTCCTCTGTGACTTACTAATTATATAACTGTGCACATCACTCTATTTTCAGAGCCTCAGTTTTTTCATCAGTAAAATGGAGGAATTGGGCCAGAAGATATGTGCAAATGTGTCAGTTTTCCAAGCAAACCCTTTAATGTCACCTAAGGGATACTTCTCAGAGAGTGGCCAAGTCAGGGCATTTTTCATTTCTCTGGATGTTAGTTTCCTATCCATAAAACTGAGAGGGTGGGACTATAACCGTGGCTCTCAACAAGTGGGGCCTATCAAAATTACTTGGGAAGCTTTTTAAAAACATAGATACCCTTGTCCCACCTCAGACCTACTAATTAAGTGACACAGATTGTAATAAGCTTGAATACACCAATACCTAAATAGATAAAACATGAAACCTAGAATTGTAATCCACAGGGCTGTGTCAATATTTGATTACTCAGTAGGCAAGAATCATACACATAGGTCACCCACAAAGCAGAGGCATCTCCCCTCCATGCTGGTTATTCTGTTTGCCCTCCTACCACCCAGATCCATTCTTGGCCCTTCTCCACCCTGCCCCTGGAAGCTGACCTCTATGAACTGTATCAGTAGGGTTCACGTGTTCTCTGGCCCCACAATGAGCCTGCTGGCTGAGACTGAGTTTCCCACAGTGGCTGTGCTCCTCCACGGCTACAGCTCCGGGCTCCCACCCTGGACCTCAGGCCTAGGGTTGGCAACAGCTTCCCGCTGTCGCTAGTCTTCAGCCCTGACTAGTTTGTGGCTAGTTGTGGCTCTTTAGCCCTGACTAGTTTCCATAGCCCTGCCCACATCTCTGCCATCTCATAAGTTATATCCTTGAGTGTGACAGCAACCTGACTGATACAGTCATCAACGAAGCAGAGGCACTGCCCCCTTCACTAAAAGAAAGAGCTTATCTAATTTCATTCCTATGAATAAGATTCCTTGGTTGTTTCAAAACTAAAATTGTATTTGCTCTGTAGTGTTTTAATGTTGATTGCATATTATAGGAGGCAGAAAATGGGGCAGGGCTGCCTGAAATTAGACATCCCTTCCTCTCTATACTTAAAACTACCTATTTCACACAGCTTTGTAATTTTCTCTTTGTTGGTTTGTCTCCCTGTAAGAGCATGAGCCCATTCATCCATTCATTCATTGATCCAACAAATCTTTATTGTGCACCAAGTATGTCCTAGCCACTATGTTAGGTGCTGGGGTTTAAAAACTTCAGTAAGGGGCTTCCCTGGTGGCGCAGTGGTTGAGAGTCCGCCTGCCAATGCAGGGGACACGGGTTCATGCCCCGGTCCGGGAAGATCCCACATGCCACGGAGTGGCTAGGCCCGTGAGCCACACCGCTGAGCCTGCGCGTCCGGACCCTGTGCTCTGCAACGGGAGAGGCCACAACAGTGAGAGGCCCGCGTACCGCAAAAACAAACAAACAAACAAACAAACAAACAAAATTTCAGTAAGATATAGGTTCTGGGAATTCCCTGGTGGTCCAGTGGTTAGGACTCCTCGCTCTCACTGCCGTGGCCCGGGTTCAATCCCTGATCAGGGAACTAAGATCCCACAGGCCACGTGGCGCAGCCAAAAGAAAAGAATATATGTAGGTTCTGTCCTCATGGAGTTCAGTTCAGGCAGGCAAGTAAACAGTAATTATGGAGTGTGGCAATTGAAATAATTGAGGCATGAAAATATGTCTCCTGTGACATCAAAAAGATGTCAGGGGCCTCCCTGGTGGCGCAGTGGTTGAGAGTCCGCCTGCCGATGCAGGGGATACGGGTTCGTGCCCCGGTACGGGAGGATCCCACATGCCGTGGAGCGGCTGGGCCCGTGAGCCATGGGCGCTGAGCTTGCGCGTCCGACAACGAGAAAGGCCACGACAGTGAGAGGCCCACATATCGCAAAAAAAAAAAAAGTCAGAATCATTCAGCGTGCCTGGAGGAGCTGAGAAAGCTGGGGCTAAATCTACAAAGGTGAGTCCGTCTTCACTGAGTAGACACTAATGAAAATGATGTTCTAGGTGCCAACTAAAAATTGTCACTTGCCTTCTGCCTCTACAAAGTCACTAGCCACTGCAGTCACTGACCTTCAACACACCGTGAAAGGAGTTCAGAGAGGAGATCAGGAATGAGGCCCTCTGTGCTCTGGGAAAAACTGGCAGAACAGGCCTTCAGATAGTTAGATATTTTCAGAAGATTTTATGAGCCCAATTTCTTGCATCCCTCATATCTAGAAAAGCACTAAAATCATTAACAGAGACATCTGCTCCTTGTGACTAGCAACAACTGTCTCGTGACTCGCAGAAACCCTCTGCCCAAATGTGTGCTTGATTGCACGTATGTCCCTTCACTAAAATCATATATAATACTGACCCCGCCCAATATCTTCGGAGCAGTTCCTCAGAGCTATCTGAGACGCTGTCTCCCAGGCCATATTCCTCATTTTCCCCACATATAACTTAACTCATAACTCTCACGTTGTGCATTTTTTTTCAGTCAACATAGGACAGAGGGAATTGCGTATGTTCATAGAAGCACAAGAGACACACTGAATACAGGGAAATGCCTGTAGTACTGGAGTGAGCTGGGGGTTGAAAAAGGTGAACCTGGAGAAGTAAGAATGTGCCAGGTCAGAAAGGATCTGAATGTTCTGCTAGGGAGTTTGGACTTGACATAGTAGATGACTGGAAGCCAGTTGCCTTCTGTTCCTTAAAAAAAAAAAAGAAATCAGTTTCTCTGATTGTTTTCAGTTCTTACACACGAGACGCATGGAGGATACACAGAAATGGTGACCAACCATCATTCTGGGCTTGCCTTGCTTCCTCTTGTAGGGCTTTTTCTCACCAGTAGCCTCCTCCATCTCTGACCGCCGTGCTTTTGCCCTGGGATATATTCTGCTCACTTGGTTTGCCCCACTTGGCATTGTAATCCATTGTTTACCTGATTCCTGACCCGCTGCTGAATCTCAGCTAATTTCTACATGTCTGTTCCAGATCCCCAGAACACTTCTAACCAACCCTCAGGGGCACCCCACCCCATCCCACCCCTGCCCCACTTGGAGATCTGGGGAGGAAAATCAGACAATGGTGAATAAATACTAAGGAGGGTGTGACAAGTTTAGATGTTCTGATAGCAATGCAGGGGGAGTGAGTTGGTGAGTTGTTAGAAGTGAGCTGAATGTGTGTGCCAAGTGGAGGCGTTTGGGAGGAGCTGGATACACATCTGGAGCTCAGGACCAA